CGATGTTCCTCCTTGCAGGGTGCAAAACAAGTGACAATGACCTAAGAATGATAAGCCTAACAAAGCACCCATCTTGGGACAAGAAAAGCAGGATGTTGCCAGATAAAACCTCCAAGAAAAGATGAACTCATCTGGGACGTGACCACCTCAAGGGGGAACTAACACAAACTTCTAAGACCCATAATCTTGTCCCTGTAAAAGTCTTCAGCCAATTTCCAGTGGGGGAGACTGTTTTTTTGGAGGAATCTATTCCTCTCTGTCTCCTATATGTCCATGTATAATAAAACTCTTGCTTTTCACCTCACCCCTGTCTCAGAATTGGCTTTTGTGGCAGGCGTCTCCAATGTGCTTTGTTGTGGTAACAAATTTGGTGGCCCGTACAGGGAGCTTCAGCCGCTTGAGACTCAGCGGCCCCGGGGTAGGGCCTGGGGCTGATTGACGGCTCTCCCCAACAAGTACCCAGGAGAAATTTCATTTGCCTCTGGGGAGACAATAGGCCAGACCTTGGTCTGCAACAGCACGGCTGGTCCCCAACAGTGCCAAAAGAGGTGGGTGAAAAAAAAGCAAGACCTGCATAAGAGGGATCCCAAGGTGAGTCCGCGACTCCTCTCCCTGTTGCCCTCAGGGCCAGGGTGGATAGAGCAGGCCCGAGGTTTCCAGAGTGAGACCTGAGACCTTGGTTTCTGAGGTGAGAGGTGCCTCAGATGACCGATCCCCCCGAGTAGGGTAACAAGAAGGGACTCCTGGTGACTCTAGAGTCCTGGTTCCGGGTGTGTGAGTGCTCGTAAATGTGTCTGGGAGGTTGAGATTCTTTAAGATCACCTCTGTCGGCAGGCAGGGCCATCTGAGAGGTTGAAGGGGTGGAGATCACCTCCGTCAGCTTGTGGGATTTATTCGTTTACTGTGGTTCTGTGTCTGTCCCGTCCATTGTCTGTGTGTACCTAGTATTACAGCATCTACTTGGGCGTTGTGATTTGGCTGTTAGGGAACGTGAAAATACCTCAGGTGAGACAGGTTCTTGAGACAGCCATAGTATCTTAAGACTATCTTCACGAGTTAACTGATCTGGATCTCGAGAGCCCTGAAAATGCCTGAATGGTCAACATAATCTTTAAGGACAAAGTACCCCTGATATTAAGAGAAAGCTTCAGAAAGAAGGAAACCAAAAGCTTGAACCTTATCACTTGACATCTTTGAAAAATGATCCTGGATTTCCCCCCCTTCTACTGATTCACTGGATTGGGGTTCATAGTTAAAAACACTATAAACTGAGTATACTAGAAGTAAGTTGGAATTTCAGTGACCACTTTGTGAAAATGAGCTTTCATTTGTGTTGTCCATTTTTTCCTTAAGGGAACTTTGCTTGATGTTCAGGTTTTGTCAAAAGGTCTAATATTCCTCCATCTGAGGCTCCAGCCAGTTAATAAGGTTTATTTAGAACTGTTTGTTCCATTGAATTGAGTCGATCTTACCCAAAAAGTGTTATGTACACTTTAAGAAACTAGGATCCACATATCCGTGTTGTGTGGTATGGTCTGGTGAGTTTATGTGGTCTTTCTGTCTCCTTTTGTCTTAAAGAGGTTTGGTATTTCCTGGGTAGATAGCCTTTCAAAATGTCTCCATCAACTTAAACATACGTAAATGTCCACTGTCAGTGAAGAGTGAGGGCGGGGCACGATCAGGCCTCCTCAACCCCCAGCCCCCAGTCTCCAAGGTCGTGTAGCTCAAGGGAAGCTTTTGAAAGACCCTTTCCAGCTAGGTGGAGAGTCTTTTAAGACAAAAGATAATTAAAATTTCTACTTTTCTATAGTTATCAGAAATTGAGTGGATCCAGATAATAGAACCATAAGCAAGTTCTCTCTATTATAGGGGAACTCTAAGAAGTCAAACAATAGAAATCACAGTAAGACACACCTCAGATGGCCTGGAAAAATGTTTCCAGCAGTAGTCAGAGGCTTAAAGTTATATCCATATCAATGAATTGGTCAATCGGACAGAGACCTTGTGATTTCCAAAGCCATTTGAAAGTATCATTAAGGGCTAAAATTAGGTTGGGAAAAATATGAGAAATAGTAAAAGCTGAATAAAAAAACTTGGAATGTTTAAACAGACTTTTGTTTCAACAACAGTTATGTTTTATGGTATACAGGCTCAAAATAATTCCCAATATATTTTAGGTAACTTACTGGTGTTAAATTGAGTTAATAGATTTTTGTCATAATTTAAGCTTACATACTTTGGCTTCTTATGCCACGAGAGAAAGGATAGGCAGATATATATATGTTTAAGTCTGCTGTATGGTATTTTGATTTTTGCCATTTAAAGGGATACACTATGAGAGATATGCAACGAAGGCAATGTTTAAGAAGTTTACTGAAAAAGAAATTTATTTGATATGGTCAAGTGTTATCTGACTAAAGTTTAATGGTTTAATTTATGCGATTTTTAGAAGTTTCAATGTTAAGTAGCATTTAAAACAAAGAATTGGGTTTCTCACTGTTAAAATAACAAAATTTTCTTTCAATTTGTGAGTTAAAGGGTTAATTTATTCTTTGCATAATCTGCCTGGTGGACGAAGGTTTGGCTTCTCATGAGAATAAGATTCCTGAGTCTGAATACTAAGCCGCATGGCTTTTAGAAAAGAAAGCTCCGGTTTTTACTTTAAGATTTTTGGTTAAATAACTTAAGTATTGTTTCACAGTGACCTATAATATCATTTTTTCTTTATTGGTAACTTGGTTGCAAGTTTATCTTTTTGAATCTAGCACCATCAAAGCCAAGAGTTTGATTGGGGAATTCACATCATTTACCTATGAAGGTTTTTTTT